CAGGTAATATACCTTCTAACCACAGCATTTAAATAACTAAGATCAAGTAATAGAAAGAGAGAAAAAGAACACAGTGTACATGTGTTGGCTTGGTACTTAAGCTATCTACACTCATCTATTAGCAAAAAAAAAAAACGTGCACATGTGTTGTGTCTTGACTCTTAACCAATTTTCTTATTGCAGAACACAGCCCGTGAGGTTAAGCGTATGGATTCAATTACAAGATCACCCGTTTATGCACAGTTTGGAGAGGCATTGAATGGATTATCAACTATCCGTGCTTACAAAGCATATGATCGGATGGCTGAGATCAACGGAAGATCAATGGACAACAACATCAGATTCACTCTTGTCAACATGAGTGCTAACCGATGGCTCGCAATCCGTTTAGAAACTCTCGGTGGTCTTATGATTTGGCTGACAGCATCGTTCGCTGTCCTGCAGAATGGAAAAGCTGAGAACCAACAGGCATTTGCATCTACAATGGGTTTGCTACTCAGTTACGCCTTGAATATCACCAGCTTGTTAACAGGTGTTCTGAGACTTGCGAGTTTGGCCGAGAATAGTCTAAACGCTGTGGAGCGTGTTGGCAATTATATAGAGATTCCTTCAGAGGCTCCGCTTGTGATTGAGAACAACCGTCCACCTCCAGGATGGCCATCATCTGGATCCATTAAATTTGAGGATGTTGTTCTCCGTTACCGGCCTCAGTTACCACCAGTGCTGCATGGTGTTTCTTTCTTTATCCATCCGACAGATAAGGTTGGGATCGTTGGAAGGACTGGCGCTGGGAAGTCAAGCCTGTTGAATGCTTTGTTTAGAATTGTGGAGCTGGAAAAAGGAAGGATCTTAATCGATGAATGTGACATTGGCAAGTTTGGACTCATGGACCTACGTAAAGTGCTTGGAATCATTCCACAGTCACCGGTTCTTTTCTCAGGAACTGTGAGATTCAATCTTGATCCATTTAGTGAACACAATGATGCTGATCTTTGGGAATCTCTGGAGAGGGCACACTTGAAAGATACCATCCGCAGAAATCCTCTTGGTCTTGATGCTGAGGTACTCAGCTACAACTTGTTTATCTTGATATTTAATTGTTACCTGTATTGGTTCTTGATCTTTGTTGTTGCGTTCCTATTCAGGTGTCTGAGGCAGGAGAGAACTTCAGTGTTGGACAGAGGCAGTTGTTGAGTCTTTCACGTGCGCTGTTGCGGAGATCTAAGATACTCGTTCTTGATGAAGCCACTGCTGCTGTTGATGTTAGAACTGATGCCCTAATCCAGAAGACTATCCGAGAGGAGTTCAAGTCATGCACCATGCTCATCATCGCTCACCGTCTCAATACCATCATTGACTGTGACAAAATCATCGTTCTTGATTCTGGAAGAGTATGTTCTTAGTTGTTTAGACACAATCTTTCAATCTCACACTCCGCTAGTTTCTCAGCTAACCTGTCCTATTCTTATATATTTAACTCAGGTTCAAGAATTCAGTACACCGGAGAACCTTCTTTCAAATGAGAGAAGCTCTTTCTCCAAGATGGTTCAAAGCACCGGAGCTGCAAATGCTGAGTACTTGCGTAGTTTAGCACTTGACAACAAGCGTGACAGAGATGGCTCGCAACACTTGCAAGGTCAAAGGAAATGGCTGGCTTCTTCTCGATGGGCCGCAGCCGCTCAGTTTGCTCTGGGTGTGAGTCTTACTACGTCGCACAACGATCTTCAGAGCCTTGAGATTGAAGATGATAGCAGCATTTTGAAGAGAACAAACGACGCGGTTGTGACTCTGCGCAGTGTTCTCGAGGGGAAACACGACAAAGAGATCGCAGAGTCGCTTGAGGAACATAATATCTCTAGAGACGGTTGGTTGTCATCACTCTATAGAATGGTAGAAGGTAAATAAATATATATCTCCTATACAGTACTCTGCAAATGCTTACTTGAAGATATGATTCTACATGCAAAACCGAATCATCAGAGTTAGTTCTTGCCCTTTATCTTGACTCTTGCCTTTCTCTGTCTTCATTTTCAGGGCTTGCGGTGATGAGCAGATTGGCGAGGAATCGAATGCAACATCCAGATTACAATTTGGAAGGAAATACGTTTGACTGGGACAATGTCGAGATGTAGATAAGTTCAGGCTAAGCTAGGAATCGTCAAATATTCCATTTTCGTAAACTTGATTTTCTGTTTTGGATGCCAAAAAAGAAAACTTTGTTGTGTTCTTCTTGACAAGTAGAGTAGTTACTCTAGTATCCTTCATGGCATTCTTGAAAACTCAGGAACACAGTAACACCCTTTTAAGATATGATGGTACAAACGATATTTAAGGTTGACAAAGTTGCAAACATGAGTTTCTCTACAGCCGTTCATCATATACAAAAAGAAACAAACATCAAGAAGGGAATGAGAGGCATATTCTTAGGGTTGAGATTGATCCGAATCTTGGGATGTGTCGGAAACATCTATAGCGGTTTGGCCATGAACGGATTCAAATCCATTAGCAAAGACACTGGCGAGAGCAGTCAGCACCTGAAAGACATTGGGAAGGCTTGATTTGAGGTTGTCCAGTGTCATTCTTTTACTAACCTCGACCGAGTTTAAGTACTTAGCTTTCTCAGTGTCCACTCGTTTTCTCAAGGCTTCGATCTTGGCTTGTTTGATTGACAACGGATGCTTAGAGCCGAAGCTCGCTGAGCTTGTCGCCTCCTCTTCTATTGCTGACATTCCCTCGAGTCTTCTTTCGATCTCAGCCAGTAAAATTAGCTCTTTCTCCAGCCTCTTCTCAAGTTTATTACATTTCCTCCGCAGGTTGTATTCCTCAGCTTGTTGATTAATAACAGATTTGATTGCCATCAGAAAGCTTTTAATGGCTTCTGAAGTTACCTATACCACCCAAAACAGTTCTATTAAAGACGGCTTTTCATGAAGCCAGGAACCAGAAATATACATATAAGTTGCAAAAGTGATAGAAGAACCTTATCAGGGAGCTTTTCAAACACAAGCTGCCATTCTTTGCAGAGCTTACGAGCAGCAACAGGCAAGCTGCTTCTTTGGTTGTCTTCCTTGGAGAGGCGATCAGTAAGTTGGATCCACGTGCAGAGTGTTTCCACGTATTCTCGCTGAGAATTTACTAACTTGCAAAAGCTGTTGTACCAGCAAGTAACCTCGGTCTCTAGTTGAGTAACCGCCTGGCGTTTGTATTCCGAACTGAGATCTATACTCGGGTAATCTGGAAGATGGTTCAGCTGTTGAGATATATGCGTTTGGACTTGATGGCACTTGAGCATTGTTTTCCACATGTGCGCTAGCCTGCGGTTATGGAGACCAAATGAATATTGAGAAGCTCACATATACACAATCGCACACAAAGAAATACTTTTCACGGAGATGGCCAGCAAAAGAGTGGTTGAGGAGCTTACCCGGAAGTTAAAGCAACTAGCTGCGGGTACAGCTCATCATTGATCAAGTTAAGCACACATGAGCATGTCGTAGTTATAGAATCTTCAAGACGCTGTATCTCGGTTTCCAAACTCTCCAAAGACAAGCGTATCTTCTCCGTCTTGCTCAAATCATAGGTTTCTACATCTTGCTTTTGCAGTAATGCAGACTTCCTCTCATGCTCCACTCTAGCAATTTCTTTGTTCTGACCAGAGAATAACAAAAAAGCTTAGCATTTCATTGATGAATCTTAACGATCTAACACCAAAAGAGTTGGATGAGCTAGCTCTTACTCTGACAAGCTGGTAAAGTTTCTTCTCAGCTGTGTATAGCTTCTCAAGTGTGCTGCAGTGAGCTCCAGGCCTACAGGGCTCAACAGCGCCACTTGTTGTAGCATCTTTGCCAAGAGACTTTGAAGACCAACTCCATGACAATGCACTGAATACTTTTGCGGAGCTGCTTCTCTTCCCTGCGAGCCACAAAAGTATTATAACATGTACATGCTTATGAACACAGATCAGCATCTATGGGTGGTCCAACATCCAGAAAGATTAACAATTTACACGAAAGTTGAAGTCACTTACTTCTAGTTTCCTGGTACCTGAAAGGATCAATAGTATCTCTACTATTGATGTCAACTATCACAGCTATCTCCTTCTCGCAACCTGATGCTTTAAGAAAGTAATCATCCAACTCTCTGATGATCCCTTCTAAGGTCCTCCTGATCCTACAATCAGCCGCTGCACCAGTGTTCTCCAAATCTTTACTGTGCAAGCTTGTCATCGACGAGTTATCGTCCATAACTTCTCCCAGCTTAAACTTCAGACGTCTTGGCTTCTTCACGCCAGAGCCACCAACAGTCTCTATTTTCTGAACACTTAAATCAAGGCAGTTACTTGCTGCTTCTTGTAGCTCATCTTCTTCCTCAAACTCAGACTTCGTCTCCGCCCAATCTTCCTCTTCAGCTTGCTGAATCTTTTGCTTCTTCTTCAGGTCGATTTGTGTAACTGCATTATCACCACCACTTGGATGACTATGCAGCTCCAATGACTCAAAAGGGTTCCATAAGTTCCAAGAGTTCGGCAATGGAGGTGGAGGAGTTGCGCCACTTCCATCATCATTACCATCATTCTCTGACTCTGCAGCACCCTCTTCCTCCTCATCAACCAATTCATTCTCATGGCCAATCTCGGGATTTCTCAAATCCGGGCTAAATGGAGGAGGTGGTGGAGGTGAAGGAGGCAATGTAGGAGGCGGAGAAGGAGGCAAAGGCAAAGGCAAGCTCAATTCATAACTAGTGTTTTCAAGCTCCAAGGACTCAGACTCTGTGAATTGCCTAAGAGTGACTCCAGTGTTTCTTAAAGCTCGAAGGTACGCCAATTGTGCATCTGCAAATTCTCCCCTGAACCCTAATAACTGTTTCATTAGCCTCTTTCTCTGCCTACACACTAAAACCTTTTCTTCATTATCAATTCTTGAAGCAGCACAACCCATTTCTTCCAACTACCAAAGTCTTCCCTTTTCCTTCTTTCTGTTACTTAGAATCTCTGAAACAGAAACCGAGAGTGGCTAAAGTTAGCTATTTGCTTGGAAATGTACAAATGATTTCACGAGAGGCCCAAAGCTTTTTGAAAATAGAGGTTAATCAGTGACGCAAAAACAAAACAAAAAGGAGAGGTTTTTACTTGGAGAAATTCCCACAAAGTGCTCTCTTTTTGTCACTTGCAGAAAAGTGTTATTAAGGGGAATGAGACTACAGCTAATTAATCTGCAATTCAAGGGGAATGAGAGTATGAGACTACATACCAACGAAGCTCGCTCGCGAATGATTTATCTCCAAAAAGGAATCGCCTTTCTATCATTTCGACTGCATTTCTCTGGCAAAAGACGACACTTTGATCCGCGGAAACAGAGATTTCGTCAAAGGTCAAAGCTTGGTCCCAATTCCCAAAGCTCAAAAACAGCAAGAGAAACGTTGCAATTAGAAACCAAAATTCGAAGAGAGAGAGAGAGAGAGGGGAAGAGAGGTAGAGAGTGAGAGAGAGAGAGAGCAAGTGAGAAAAGAATTAAATTGGGCTTATTGCATGAATATTTATTTATTTAGTATGATTGATACTGACATGGAACCTGGTACAAATAAACAGAGTTAAATTTCGTTTATTTTAAGAGTGAGTTAAAAATGGTTGACCATTTTATTAAGAATATATGCCAATGATAAAACTGTAAATTAGGTGAGGTAAGAAAGAAAAAAAAATTAAACCAAATTATCCTTTTGATCTAATGTAATTACAGAAAATGTCATCCCATTGAAAACCTCTGGCTAACACTATATGAGTTCATAACCAATTCTTGTGATGCCAACAATATTTATCCGGTGACACTATTCATATTTGGCTGCCAACATTGTGTAGATTTGGTGGTAAATTATGTGATTACAATGGTAACTAGACTATGGGTTGATCGGTAAATGTTATATACTCCACAACTATTTATTTCTAAAGCACTAATGTTAAGTCGATCAAATTTGGATTTCATTTTACAATTGCAGAGCCAAAATGTTTAAAAAGGAAACATTTTTGTTTCTAAAAAACACTTTTCAGAACATAAAATTAAGGCTATGAGAATTCTTCTCTACATCTTTTTGTTTCTATAAAAATATATATTTAATGCTACATATATAATCTCTAATGACGTAATATCTATTGTCAAAAATCATACAACACTAAAACTTACAACCACGTCCAAAAAACCTACGGCCTAAATCCTATAACAGAAAATTCAAGTTACAACCACAATAAAGCAGTGAAATACACAAGCATTTGCAAATGTTTTTGATATAAAAGCACATATATATGAATGAAAACCAATAAATTTGTTGAACATGAGTCAAATTCTTAAATCAGTTTTTTATAGCTCTTACATCAACTTATATTTAGTAAATAATTTTTATTTAACAATAATTTCCTTTTATGTTAACAAATAGAAGAACACAATTATTTATCCGATCAAAAATCATTAAACAAGAAAAGAAAATATAAAGCAACCAAACATGATCAGAGGCAAATATTAAGTTGGCCAGCATAAACAGCTAATAAACTTAAACAGGAAGGAACTGTTTTGAGTATACGATTACGTTTTTGGTTTGTTTAACTAATGTTTTTATTTGTTAAAAGGTTTAGTGTAAGTTTTAGCTTTGTCTAAGGGATAATTTTCTAATTCCGGAATGAAACATACAAAACTTTACTGATCGAGGGTAAGAGATTATTATTATTTCTTGTGCTCAATGGTATTTAACCACTAAATATATATATGAATACTACAAAGATTTACATACAATTTGAAAGGCAGGAGGAAGAATTCATGTTTATTTTTGGAAAAAAGTTAGGGACGCCTCTTTTAAAAAGAAAAAGAAAGAAGAATGAACTTTTGTTATATTAAAAGGTTTAGAGTTGTAAAAGAAAAGGATGAGAAAAGGAAGAACAAAAGGGACAATGGTGACAAGATTTACACGAGGCATCATAGATAGAAAAGACTAGTGACGCGCATGTTAGCCATTGCATCATTTATCCACTTGAATTTTCAACAAATATATATATACAAAAACAAAGTAAAAGTGATTGATTGTGATCAATCTATATTCGACATTACCGTAATCTGTGATGGCTTTGCTAATGAAGCCAAATTAGAAT